TGCTGGGATAAACTGGGAGGAGTGATTTTAACTTTCAAACAGCAGAGATTCTGACTTAATTCAGTCCAAAAGGTGAGAAACTTCTTTGAAAGGTTTAAAGCAGAATTGGAGGATATGCAAGGGCATCAGAAGGAAGGATCGGCACAACAAATACAAGAGACTGAGGAAGAGACTACCACATTGAAAGCTATAGGTATAGACTTTTTAAAGTTTACAGCATAATTATGGATTTTAAATGCCTAATGTGGAATATAAATGGGGCAAATGCCTGCAAAAAAGAAGAAGAAAAGAACATATTTCATTATTTCAAAAAATTAAAACAAGACATACTTTGTTTACAGGAAACACATGTAAGGAACAAAAATTTTAAAAAACTGTTTTGTAAAAATTTGGGACAGGATTTTGACAGCATTAACTAAGAAAAATGCATACAAAATTATACTAGTTATTTTGTATATAAACCCAAAATTACAACCAAAACTGATAATGACTGATGATGATGGCCGATATGTCAGGGCTGAAATCAATTTGAATGAAACTAAGACTGTGATGTTGGGAATCTATGCCCCAAATGAAAATAAAATTATATTTTTCAAGGGACTTATGGAAAAACTTACCAGATGAAAATTGGTGTTTTTCGGAAGATTGGAATGGATTACTATGCCCCCAAAAAGACAGAACCTCTGAGAAAGGAATTAAATCAACACAAGGTATATTATTGAAAATATTTTTTGAAATGATGGATAACTTTGAGCTTATAGATATATCACAACATAAAAATGGGAACTCCTGGGGGAATTTACATACTTTTCTGGAAGACACATGTCATTTTCAAGACTAGATATGTTTTGCATTTCTAAAAGTTTTGCTACATGTATTTTTAAAGTGGAGATATTGACAAAGACTATTTCAGATCATAACCCAGTGACTTTAATATACAAGAGAAAAGTTAACTTATAGATGGAGGCTAAATGAAACTTTGTTACAGAAAGAGTCAATAATGGAGGACTGCAAAAAATAAATTGAAATAATTTTTTGAAATTAACCTTAATAAAGGCACTGATATAAGGACAATATAGGATGCCAGTACAGCCTTTATGAGGGGACAACTTATATACCAAAAGAAGCTGAAAAGACAAAGATGAGAAGAAGCAAAAGATTTTAATTGAGATAAAAAAGAAAGAGGAGGAGTTAAAGAGATCTCCAGGAAGGAAAGATGTCTCACAGCAAATCAAGCTTTTATAATGCCAACTTTCTATGTTAACAACTAAAGAAATGGAGATAAAAATGAACTTCACAAAACAGAAGAATTCTGAGTTAGCAAACAAGTCAGGGAAATGACTAGCATATAAACCAAGAAAAGAAAGGGAGAAGAAAGTGATATCAAAATTACAAAATGGGAAAACTATGGTAACAGATAATGCAAATATGCAAAGAATATTTCATCAGTACTACAGTATGCAAAACTTCATAAAGGACAAGAAATCTCCCTGGTAAAAGTGGATGAACATTTAAAGCAACAAAATCTGCCAAAAAAAGACTCATGGAAGATTGGTTTTATATACAGTAACTTCAGCAAGACAATTATATGCACAATGTTGGAGAAATACTGATATACCCACAATGAAGGAATGGATTGTGAAGATGGAAGAATTTGCAGAAATGGCAAAATTGACGTGTTTGATCAGGGATAAAGTACTTTTGTAAAGGATTGGAAACCTTTTATGTATTTTTTGCTGAAAATGGAAAAAAAATGAAATTGTGATTTCTGGATTTGTGGATTAAAAGGGTTGAATATGGGATAGAGAGGAACTATGTGATAATCTTAGAGAGGGAGGAGGGATAATAATCTGGTTTGGAACTGCAGTGTATAGATTGGAAGTTGCTTCTTTAATTATCTTTTTCTTCTCTTCTTTCTTTATTTGTACACTTTTCTTTTTATCTTTTTCTTAACTCTCCTTTATATATGTTCTTATGTTTTATTCATGTAAAAATCTTCAATAAAAATTATATTAAAAAAAAGAAAATGTATTAACATGCAGATGTAACTTTTAAAAAATAG